AGCTGCATATTTTTACGTTTCTCCGGTACCTTTTTAGGTTCCTGGCCGGAAGCTTCGGTACCGTGGTTGCGGTTATGGTTCTTGGGACAACTCAATTTTTCTTGTCCGGTCGGTTTCCCGTCTACCGGCCGGAACTCTTCCTGTTTCCTGTCTTCACCGTTTTTCTTTCTAGGCAATTGGCCCACCAATGCCCAGTTTGGTTGCAGCTCTTACACCGTGCCGCTTGATTTTGCCTCCTCTCCAGAGGTTTACCGTAGTTATTCGGCGGTGGTTCTCAGTTAGCCCATCTGGGGCTGTTCCCTCTGGCCGAACCTTTTTTACCTCGGGCTGCCGTTGTCTCGAGAAGTCTTCAGTGTCAAGATCATCAGCCAGCTCGAACAGATCTTCAATGGACTTCGGTCACCTTACACGCGCGTGTATTCGATGGTCCCTGTTCATTAGCGCCACTATTAAGTCGACTAACTCGTTATCCATGAGCCTGGATTCCAGTCGACGCGCTAGCTGGCACATCTACATTATAAACTCGCCTAGGGATTGGTTCTTCCCTTGGTCGACATAGTGAAAGTCATTGCAAATTTGTGTTCGAATAGCTTCGCTATTGAACCTTTACATGAGCTGCTTACGGAACATTTGCCAAATAGGGTGTAATGTGACAAAAAGTATATGTTTTAGCTTCGATGCTTTTTTTTTTTTTTTATGTCTGTTGCCACTTTTTCTCAGCTCTTACTGGACCGATTTCTTTCAAAAATACGTCAAAAGATCACAAATCGTATCTAGTTGAAGACATTACCCTTAAAAATTGAAAAAAATTCCCTTGTTCCCCGCAAATGGGGGAAATATCCAAAAAAATTACAAATTTAAAAATCGCTAATTTTCGAAATTTTTTCACTTTTTTTTCTTAAAACTTCCATAACTTTTTGAAAAATCAACAAATCAACATAATTTTTTTTTATACTAAAACCTTAGATATTTACCTTTCATTTGATATCATTTTTTTGAAAATCTATCACTTAACCTGCTCATTGGGGGGGATTTAAAATGGCAACTTTTTTACAAAAATTAATTTTTTCAACTTAATTTTTGAAAATGTTCCGGAAATACTGCGTCCTTTAAACATATATCAAATTAAAGCTTATTTTATGTACTACAAAATGAAAAAAAAAAATTTGTCCCGACACTTTTTTTTCTACATTTAAACGGCTGCCGTAGTTAAAAAAACACTATTTTTGTGTTAAAATTTTCGATTTTCGATTTTAAATTTTCAACTTAAAAATGCTATAACTTTTTGAAAAATGTATATATCAGCACAAATTTTTTTTTTCTAAATACATTATAAGTACATCTTTCATTTGACATACTTTTTATTAAAATTGGACAATTTCCGCTAGAGGGCGTTCAAATCTTAAAATATTGTAAAAAACATAGATATTTTTCAACTGAACTTTTGAAAATGTTCCGGAAATACTGCGTCCTTTAAACATATATCAAATCATAGTTCATCGTATTCTCTAATTGTAAAAGTGTAGGTGTAATTATTTTTTGTTATTAATATATATTTTTTTCTTTTTCTCTCTGTTCCCCTATAATTTTTAGACGAGGTTTTTTGACCGTTTAGTTTTTTGCCTCGTGTTAACTTAATTTTATTTTGTTTTTTTTTTAATAAAGTCACCTTTATTTAACTCAACTATCATCTTATTTTTTTTTTTTTGCGTGTTCCATCTTCAATGCACTCGTGTATTTTTTTATTTTTTTTTTCCTTTCAAAAATCAACTCCCCTTAGTTTATAAGGTACAGGCAACGGCCTTGTATAAAGTCGTCCCTCATCATTATGGTTATGTGACAACTGTCACGAGGTTTTGTTGTACATCAACTTTAAATGACTCAACAAACATCAAACACAATTTTAGGACTTTTCTATTTTTTTTTTATCTTAAATTGTTTTTAATGTACAAAATTTAATTTCTTTTTAAGATTCTACTGTGGTCCGACAATACATTGTCTCGCTCATACTTAAAATATTAAGTATAATATTAGTTTATAATTACAAAAAATAATAGTGTCAACATATTTAAAAAAAATTTTTTGTTTGTCAATTTTAATATTGAATTTTTGTAAATATACCTAAGTATTGATCTGAATTGTAATTAATTAATATTTTTGTGTTTAGGAATAAAAAAGTGTTTAATATTTTTAAAGTTTCTAAATATTGAAATAGTCTAGGAAAGTTATAAAAATTGAAAACATTTTGTTTATGAAAATTTATGACTATACCCCATTTATTTTTATCAGACACATAGCATTTTTTTGGTACAACGATTAAAGGCTAGTTCCATGGACTATTAGACTTTTCAATGATATCTTGTTTTAAAAGATTTTTTTAATTGTTCATCAATTTCCTCTTTATGACACATTGGGTATCTATACTGCTTTATATTAATTGGATGAGCGTTAGGAGTAATAATTTTATGTTCGGATTGATTAGTATAAGAGAGTTTATCACTCGGTAAGAAAAATATATCATTATATTGTTTGCATAAATTATTAATAGACGACTTTTCTTCACCATTTAAATGATTTAATCTAAGGTTTTGATTATTAATATTAAGATTATTACAATTGATGGGAATATATAAATGAATATTAACATATACGTATATATAAATATTAATATATATATATATATTAATATTAGCGGCGGCAGTAGGAATATATAAGGTTAGCAGCGTTGATGGCGACGGTGCGCGAGTGCGGATCGGTTCGTCGAAGTTGTCACTTTGGCAACGGGAAGAAGACTACGGTATCATTTGCGGCGGGACGTCGTCGGCCGTGCGGCACTTGCAGGACTTTGCACCGCAGCAAATAACGCGCGGTGTTGGTCAGTCAAATACTCATAAAATAGGGCGACGGCTGATAAAGGTGGCACGAGTCGCAGGGCATCGTGTATAACGAAACGACGCGGGCCTTGTCAAATACCCCCCCCCGCCAAGCCACCGGTCTACTTAATGACGGCCGGGAAAATAACCGCATATCGCAGTGAAGTCCACAAAACTCACGTTGTTTGTTGGGTGATCTAAGGGGTGAGTGCGTTTATTCCAATTCTATGGGTTTTTCCGCTGGTCGCTATTTCACAGTTGTTGATTTTGATGTTATCACCACTATTGTGCTATTGCTGCTGTTACTGTTTATTAAAACGATGCCTCCTCCATGTTTGATGCTAATTGTAGTGGTGTCAGCCTCTGTTCACGGGCTGGCACTAGTAAAGTGAGTGATGTGTGTTCAATGAGTGTTAGCGTCGCGTCGCGCCCAAGTGAATTGTACCTGCAGCGTAGTCCCAGGAGACTTCCTGTTCTGTTAGAAAGTCGTGTCCCAGGAGTACGTCACAGTACAGATTCTCTAAGATAACAGCAGTAAAAGTGATCGTTAGATCTGTGATGTTCGTGGTAAAAGTAGCGGTGCCAGCGTTTGGTGTCGTATGGCCGTCTGTTAGTCTAACCGTGTGTGTGGGTCCTTTGCGCACGATTCCGTATTTATGGGCAAGGTCGGGGGAGCGGGCGTTCCGCGTTAAGCGCGCCCAACCGCTGTCGAACAACTTGCGGTGGATGAGGAGGCGAAGAAGAAGGTACGTACGGTTATAAGTTGGCTTTTAGCCTACCCGCGCGTAAGGGCCTGTCGAGATCGTTCGCGATTACGCGCAAATCGTCTTGAGTACACGTAAGTAGTATAATAATGTATGGCAGCCATACCCCTCTGCCTTACATACCCCTCCCGCCCTAGTAGGGGAAAGGGGCGAGGGGAATGGAGCAAACCCCTTGTATTCTAATCCGATGCAACCCAACGTACACTAGTCCGATGAAACCCAACTTATACTTTGCACATGCGCTGCCATCTGGCGGACGGCCCGTACCCTGAAACCCAATTCACACTTTGTACATGTGCTGCCATCTGGCGGACGGCACCCGCCATGAAACCCAACACACACACACACACACACACTATGATTGCGCGAGTATTTCGCCCGACGTGATTCGTTCGCATGCCAACGTTATATATATCGTAAAAAAGATCGTAGACTGTTGGAAACACGGTGTAGAGCGACGTTAATAAAGTTGGGCGTAGTCGATTGTTTAACATCTTGGATGGGTGACCGTGTTTCTAAAACAAAAAAATTGATCCCTTTACAACACTGTTCTATTAATCGTTGATTAAAAGATGATGGTAGTGGGCTGCTCATCATAAGACGCCTAATGTTGTAGGGACGCCAATTTTTTTATATTGCGGAGAGAGAATTGAACCCATGTACGCTGACGGTTATACACCGCACTAATCGCACACTCTCCTCTCCAACCACATACAATTATGTGTGTATGTGTACACTTATAACGAGATTAATGACCAATTGTAAATACTCTTTATATCAATGTATAGATTAGGAGGCTATGAAAAAATTTAAAAACATATAAAACTATAGATTTATTTATTTACATATAAGTTATTTAAACACGCCATTTAAATAGTTGCGTATCACAATAGCGGCATTTTAATATCCGCGGAAAATTTACAATTAGATAATACATAGAATTTTGGTTTAAAGTTATATTATCCCGGATCGGTTTAATAAAAGAAAAATCATTGTCAGTTACAGCTTCATTTATACAGCCCCCCATTGAACAAATTGTATAATCGTATTCATCATTGTTACACGTAATTAAATTAAAATTAAAAATTAAAATATTTTTGTATAGACTGCACGCGTCAAAAAGACGATGTGAAAACTTCTACTATAGATCTCAGAATCGATTTTGAGTCATCGAGCAAATTTCCCGAGAATACCACCGTGTATTGTTTAATCATACACGACCGCATAATACAATATAATCCGTTTAGTAGTGAAGTTCGAATGTCGTAAATATTATGTTTAAATTACTATCGAAATACAACATTAGCGCCTACTGTAGTTATTATTGTCAATAAAGTAAACACATTATACAACAACGAATGACACATTTATTTTTACATTAATTTGTCACAATTATTTTCAAACAAGATAATTGTATTATGTTATTTTTCTGGTGCTTCTTCATCAGCCGCCGGTTTTCTAAAATGAAAATATATATACATTAATAATGAATTATCGCGTTATAGGGACAACAAACACGTACCTGAGTCGATAATGACCATGAGCGCTAGTGTTTATTCGATTCGGTAGAATAACACGTTTGTCGTCCAAACGATTCAATGTCATTTTCATTGATTTTATAGTGTAAACATCGTGTTTATACGATCTTATGGAAACATTTTCTCTGTAAGGCGTGTACGTATGATATTTAATTATCGGGAGTGACGGATTATCGGCCCTCTCGTGAATGTTTTTGTTCACCTCTGCGCCGCACAAAACAGCCGCCTCTTTGGCTTCGATAATCCCGATATCTCCCTCATCATCCGCGAACAGACAATGTTTAAAGTCTTCTACTGTCAAATGATATTTCACAGTAGGCCTTCTTATCCCCTTGGCTTTGATTTTTTCAGTCCCCTCAACATCGAAACCATACGCTTTCGTTCTCAGACTCACAAACTCCAGTATTGCCTTGCCACCACACTCGTCCGACCAGAGACCCGGTACTTTTTTGCGGGCGGCCGAATAGCAGAAATGATCTTTTGGTAATGACGATGTGTCAAAACGCTCCATCAACTCGGGGTGTTCTTTGATCTCCGCATAAAAATTTTCGGTCAACACATAGTACACTAGAGAATCTATATTATAAATTAATATTTATTTTACTTTTAATTATCGTCATTTATTACCCGTATCGCCGTACATCAGCATAATACGATCTTTAAAATGTTTTTTCATATAATTATAATGGAAATCGTACACCAAAGTTTTTGAAATGTCCAGTATACAGAATCCCGCGTACACCGGTTTTGTAAAATGAATAATTTTATTGTCCAATACGAATATTGAAAGATTTTCCTTGTACGTGACACAATGGTTGAAAGTGTGCTTTTTAATCAATTTAGCGGCACGTTTAGGATCGCACACGAGTTCCATCTTTTTTCTGAATTCAACGCGTTCCATACACTTACCTTAATAATAAAATACGATATTAATTTATAAACATTTATAATAGTACGCTTTTTTTTTTTTTACCAAAAACAGAATTATTCATTAATTTGAAAAAATCTTTTTCGAAATCGTTAGTAGCCGCCTGCCGCATTTCCGTGTTTAATTTGATGTACTTGGAAAGCCATCTGGACTGTTTAAATTCTAAAACTTTGTGCACCTGTGATTATAACAGTTATTATAGTAAAATAATTTCAAAAAAATATTCAATTTTTTATATTACCTTTTCAACTTTAAGACCGTTTTCCATCGCTTGCTGTAAATTCAAATAGTGCACGACATAATGCTCTTTAGTTTCTAAAGTTGAAAGTAATTTTTTCGCTTTAGAATTTGGGGGTATTCTGTTTTCGGGTAGAAAAGGCATTTCATTATGCATGTCGTGCTTTCCTTCCGGATACGTTACTGTTACTTCCAGTGCGAGCCCAATGTCCGAGTCTTCGTCCATCTCCCGCACTCTTTTCAAAACCGTTTCATGGTCCTCGTCTATCCACCTGAACCCCGCGTACGGAAGATTTTGCGACATACTCCAACCGTACAAATTGTTTACGTCTAAATAAATAATTTCGGACTTGGGCTTTTCGGCGTCATAATTAGGCGTTTTTAAATTATTCGCTTGAGCGTATTTAAGTATAGAATTTGTCATACCTCCCCTTATTCCTCTTGAAATGAAAATTTGTTTTTCGTAGTCCGATATGAGCTCTAATTTTACAGCCGTGTGTAGCAACATCGCGTCGAAAGATAAACCGGGACTCGTATAGTAATACGACGGTTCCAATCTATACTTTTTCAAACATAACTTTTTGAAATTCGAAAATACATCCGCCAGTATAGTGACATCGGTTTTCAAATACAGATCCGAATATTCCCCCAAATTTTTACAATTAAAATGTTTCCATACGGTTTGCGCGTGTACATAATCTTCATCGCTAATGTGCGATTCGGTCAATTCATTATAAAAGTCTTTTTTACTCGGCAATTCAGTAGTTTCCAGCACATCGTAATTACTCGTAAAGGAATACGGGTAAACACCTTTGCGTGTGACCAAATCGATATTCTCTGCCGAAAATACTTTTTCCGTTTCTNATTCTCTGCCGAAAATACTTTTGCCGTTTCCTCGAATAGATGTTTACCGGCAGCGCGTAAATTGTTTGCAAGTGTGGCCAAACTGGTGCCCATGAACCTATACGTGTCGACGAATCTCACAGTGAACGTGTTGGAAACATATTTTGAAAAACTTATATATTTTTCTTCGGTAGACGGTATTAGAGAAATTCGTCCTTTTGAAAAACTTAATTCTCGCACGAGAAAATGAGCGTCGTAGTTGCTTAACCCGTGAAAAAAACACGGTACGAATGTAGGTGTTTTTAATTTAAGATTACAATTATTGCATAAAGTATGTCTATATTTACCGCTCAAGTGATTGTGATCGGCCACTTTGTAATTCTCATCGCTGAATTCCATTTTACACAGATCGCAATTTGTTTTCATTGCGTGTACCGCCGTTTCTTCGTCGGTCATGACGATACCGACATTTGTTTTCAACAGCGCTTCGATTTTTAGCGCTTCTTCGCACACTTCTTTCACAAACCGAGCGGCAACATCATTCGACCCGCTGTTGCCTCTGTATATTTTCGGTTCTGTGCTGATATCAAAGCGATTCAATAATTCTACGGGCACACTGTCAGCCGCTTTTATTAGAAAACAATAGCTCATCGGTTTGTGTTCTTGAATGGCGCGGGTATTATCACCCATTTTTTTGTCTACTCGTTCTAATAACGATTCAAAATCGCAGTAAATTGAAAAAGGATGTTCCTGCATTTTTTCGAATGCTTCAAATTGTAATGTAGTTCCCTCCTCCGGCATGATGGGTAAAAATGATTTATTTTCTCCGCAGATTTTTTTATGTTCTTTTAATGCTTCAAAACCGGAAAGTTTATATTTTTTACGAATGAAATTAAAACCCAAAAAACATCTTTTGCAAAACACCATTTTAGATGTATTTTTAGTCATCTGGCTCTGTACTAAACGCCCAAAATCTGTTATGTACGCGTAATGATTACCGCCGGTACTGTTGGACACCAATAGTAAATCGAAATGATCCGATTTTTCCTCGGTAACCACCCTCAACGGATAAACTAAATGCGACATACCGTTTCTCTCCTCATCGCCATTTCGTTTTTTACTACTCAATCCGTACACATTAACCGATGTGTTTTCGTTATTTTTTTCAAACGTTTTTATTTCGTCAATAGGCGTGGGGAATGTTAGTCCGGAAAAATTATAATCGTGTTTTAATGACTTGTAATTATGTCCGACAATATTAGCATTATTTTTTCCTCTCATTTTTTTAGCCAATATCGCCCATTTAAAGCAAAAAGAATCGATATTTTGCGGATTTATAACAGCGCACTTATTTTTAATATCTTTCGGTAATTCAATAAAAGAGTTTGCCGACAACGGAGAATATTTGTAAACGCCGAGAAGTATCCCGTCTATACATAAAAACGAAAAATTGCTCCCCTTGCCCGCGTAATTCTCCTCTTCTTCGATTAATTTTTCAAACGCGTTATCGACAATCGTACTGATATCACTACAGGCAAATAATTCCACGGCACTAGTTTTAAAAGATCGATTCTCGTTCGTGTCACACTGATTCGGTACATTGTAAGTGGCTTCCAATTTTAAATTGAATTTGATCGGACCAAAGTTTTCCAAACACTCGTATAATTTATTTATTAATTCGTTTTTTATTTGAAATAAAAATGATTTATAACCGTCAATTTTTTCCACATTTTTTTTATAAAACCAAAAGATATTGTCTAACGAGGTGCCTATTAATTGAAAAGTCGATGATGAAATTTGATCTAATCGCCGCTGTTTAATCCGTACACTACTAACCGTATTATAATTTCTTTTCGTCCCGCTCGTACTCGGCCGTTCATTTCCTGCAACGAACAGACCACTGAATTTACCCATTCGTTATTATTATTATTTTTTACTTACCACACGACTGTAATGTTCTCGAATCCGGATGATTTCCGATCGCTATATTATAATCAATTCCGTATTTTGTGAGATCTATATAACGATACAATTTATTTAATCAACTATAGTTAATTTAAAAAAATAAATATTTTTATACTAACGATGCACTTTTTGAATGTGACGTACGAGTGAGTTTTTATCTGATAATGTTGAACCGCATACATGACACGGAAATCTAATCCTATCGTGTTTTACTCGGTGCCTTACTAAATATCTTTTTACAGAAAAAGTTTTATCACATTTATCACAGCTAAACATTTTTAAAAGAGGTCGCCGAATATTGATTCAAACCGTTATAAGACGACAGCTTTATATAGCAGTACATTTATCATTAACGTAAAAGCGCTTTGTCTTTATGAATGAGTTAAACAACACCCTCGAGTTGTTTATGAGTTAATCACACACACATAAATTTAAGACATTTTAGTTGTTTATGAGTCAGTCGCTTATTTACGACACTCTGTAAATTACCTTGTTTACCACCATAGGAGACTATATAAGATAAACGAAATTACGTAAATTATACAATTTCAATCGACGAGATGGAATCATTGAAAAAGAAAAGCCAGGTGCACAAACCCATCGAAGAACTCGTCGTAAATCGCAAATATGCGATTATGGAAATATCTAGAGTGGAAACCCGGAACGGGTCAGCTATCA